AAATTTTCATCAGATAGTCTTTTTTTTAGGTCACATGAAACTTCTTGCCCTCTAATGTATAAGAGCTTCATTTCTTTTGAATAGTTAGTTTTTATAAATGAGATCAACCCTTCAACATTACTATCCACCGATGCTACATTAGCAAAACCCAAGCATTTTGCAGCTTCCATAGTTGAATTGCCAACTGTGATAATTGGAAGATTATCTATTTTATATATACGGCTAAAGGCCTTGATGCTATTTTTGCTAGTGGATATTACAATATCAAATTCATATTGAGATAGGTCGGAATAGAGATATTTTATTGTAAATATTGGTTCAATATATACTTTATATCCATGTTTTCTGAGCATACTTCTTGTACCCAATGAATCTGACAAGGGCCTTGTTAATAAGATAGATTTCACTTTAATTCATATAGCTCTCAATATATAATATACTTAATCTGGATAAATTACTAAAAAAAATTTTCAAGTAGATTCCTTTTGATATTTAACGCCTAATTGTAATTAGGCTTCTCTTCAGAGATATTTAACTTTTCCTCAAAATTTTAATTATAAATATGTTGCTTTAAATTGTCAAAATTTTTCTTTACTACTACTAATTCCTACTCTTTGAGTACAGATATAATCTGGTTTGCAATTAGATTCATACATAAATTCATGATTTGCAGTTAATCCAGACTATTGCGTTCTTTTATAATATTTAATTATTGCACAATATTCCTGGTACACCTAAATTTAGCTCAAGTGGGTCAGCGAGCTTTAAACCACGTATTAGCACTGCAGCGGGCAATTCTTCTTCTGTTATAACATTTAGGCAGTGGTATACCATATATAAAATATACATATGAAAACCCTGACTTACCAAACATAACTGAGGTACGCTTAGTATAACCTTTAGCTGCGTGGCAAGCTGGGTCATCTCTGCAGATATAAGCTTCAACTTCAGTTATTATTCCGCTAAAGTTAGAGAATTTTAGAGTCTTTCCTAATAATTCTCCAGCTATAATTAAAGTTGGGGTTCATAAAAATTCCTCGACAACATTGTACCTCTCATTCGTGAAATAAAAATTTATTTTAACTACAGGATGACTGCAAATATTTATTTGCTTGATAAGTGAGAATACGTCCCCTTAGTGTACGCTGTACAAAATTAATTTTGATTAAGTAAGGTTCCACTGTTTCTTCTATATTACCAACATTTTCAGACAATGCAATTGATATAGTGTCAATTCCTACCGGGCCAGAAGTATTAGATAAAAACCTTAAATAATCCATGTCTAATTTANATTCTCCAGCTACAATTAAAGTTGGGCGTTCATAAAAATTCCTCGATAACATTGTGCCTCTCATTCGTGAAATAAAAATTTATTTTAACTACAGGATGACTGTAAATATTTATTTGCTTGATCGGTGAGAACACGTCCCCTTGGTGTACGCTGTACAAAATTAATTTTGATTAAGTAAGGTTCCACTGTTTCTTCTATATTGCCAACATCTTCAGACAATGCAATAGATATAGTGTCAATTCCTACCGGA